TCCTTCAGAGAAGCAGGAATTCAGTACTCCTTGAGGGAGTTAACAGTGCTTAAGGGTAATGCCCAAACCCAGCTCAGCCAGCACTCATAACTCATTCAGCAAGTGGGCCTGGCCATATTGACTCACTATATTAACGTGATACATTTACTGACTCAAGAGTGTAAGGCCAGACGCCTCATCAGGAGCCCGGACAGCCACCCAGCTCTGCACTCAGCACCCAGCTCTGCACTCAGCACCCAGTTGTGCACGCAGCCCTCCAGTTGGGAATTACGGCTGATGCCACCCTAACCAAATCTTGCACCAAAAACCCCGCCGGACAACCCGACAACCAATAGCGGCCCAATCCCGCTCCCCCAAAGCCAATCAGAGTGCCCTGCTGTTGCTCGTCACTCTAGCCACATAAACCCCACGCCCCAGGAAGTCAGCGCAACTTCTCTGGCCCTCTTTCCCTGGACCATCGAACCTCGCCCCGGAGCAGAATAAACTGGCATTTAATTTTTTTTATACTGGCCTCAGTTTCTTCATTTTAAACTCGGCAATAACCCTTAAAATGACTTTGAATACCTTTGGAAGAAGCGAAGACAAAAGGGAGAGGGCAAGGACTTTCAAATCTGCTTTGAGTACGAAACTGCAGGCTAGATGTCCAAGCTATTTCCTGCTGTTTCAGCAACTGGGTAGTGTGAGAAACAGCACCACCCGGTTTCCTTGAATTTGGAGAACAATATCTAGTGAAGGGTTCATTAGCTCATTTTAAAATCATGCAAGTCCATGATAGCTTTCTAGCTCAGTTACCTCCCATTCCTCCCTTATCAGTCAGAATTCAATCAGAGAAAAAAAACAGTAGGAAGCATATATGAAGACATTTATTGCAAGGAATTGGCTTACACGATTGGCCAGATAATACCCTCCTCGCTAGCCAAGTCAAAAATTCGTAGGGCAGGTCATTAGGAAGGGCATGTTGGAACTCTCAGGCATAGGCTGCAGCTGCAATTACAAGCAGATTTTTTCTTTTGGGAAAGCTCATTTCTGCTCTTAAAACCTTTCAACAATTGAGCAAAATCCATCTAGATTTTCTAGGATAATCTACCTTATTTAAAGTTAAGTGACATGCACTTTATTCACAACTACACAATAACTTCACAGCAACACCTAGATTTGTGTTTGAAGCCAAGTTTGACACATAGAACTAACAGTCACACCTCTCAACACAATCCCTCCACTCCAGCCAAACTTACTTCACCAGATCACAGCCCTGCACTTATGGGATCCGGGCCTCTGCATAAAGGTAATTTGCATAGACTTCCCTTTCCCTGTCTATCTGCCAGTGAAAGTCTATCTTCCTATTTGGCCCATCTCAATAGCTTCCTCAAAGCCTAGCTCTCTAAAACCTCAGAGCCATTGCTATTCTCCTTGATACTTGTGAATTCTCAAATTATTAGTTACCCTTTTTTTTCTGTCTCTTTTCTGAGATTACAAACCTCTTAGAAACAAGGATGGTGTTTTCTATCACGGCATCCTTAGCTCAGAGACCTTAAGAATATATGCAGTGAGGATGAGCTCAGTCGCAATGTACAACCCAGGAAGGTAGGATCCTTCCTACCCAGCTTTATTCATCCCAGGAATGATCTATACAAACAAAGAATTCAGGCAAGGGGAAGAAGTATTTTCTTCTCAATTATTCAAGTTAAGAAAAAAAAAAAAGAATTAGGAATTAAGATTATAAAGAGTGTAAAGTTCAGAACTGTATGCCTTTCACAGTTCTAATATGCTATTATAAGCTACTGTCCTAATCCAGGTTTCTCAAAGCCCAGGAGTGGGCCTTTATATTTCACATGCTTAGGCACAATCTTGGCAAAGTTCCAGCTCCCTCTCCTGCCCATACTTCCAAGAACTATCTTCATCTTTCATCCTGAAGTGTTTCTCTTTTTTTGTAGGTTTTACAGACAATTGACTTTTTATGATTTCCATGGCATGATTAATGCCACACCCAAGAAGAAATCTATAGTAGCTCTTTATTTTTAAAAATGTCAGAGCAAATCATATATCAGAGAGTTATCAAAAAGTGAAAGATTAAAATTTAAATATAGAGGGCTTAAGCCAGTGGTAGTTCCCAACTAAAAATCATTTTAGGGACTTTAAAAAAATTCACGAGGCCAGACACAGTAGTTTATGCCTGTAATCTCAACACTTTGGGAGGCTGAGGCAGGAGAAACCTTTGAACTCAGGAGTTTGAGACCAGCCTGCACCACATGGTAAGACACTGTCTCAAAAAAAATTTAAAAAAAAAAAAAATAGCTGGATATGGTAGCATGCACCTGTAGTCCCATCTACGTGGAAAGTTGAGTTGGGAGGATCACTTGAACCTGGGAGTTTGAGGCTGCAGTAAGCCAATATAGCACCATTGCACTCCAGCCTAGATGACAGAGCAAGACCCAGTCTCAAAAAAAAGAAAAAAAATAGAAAAAATTCATGAATTTAGGCCCCATCATGGACCAAATGAATTAGAATGTCTGAGTGTCAAATCCACGGACTTATATGCTGAAATTGTCCTATAGATGATCCTAATTATCTCCCTGGTTAAGAATAATTGATATCCATTTGAGTCACCAAGGTGAAATATACGTGTTCCATCTCCAAGGTAGTAATGATCTACTTGCTTCTCTGTAGAACAAAGTTATTCTAAAGCAGATGGTCAATGTGGCTTGCACACTGCCAGATACTTCTTGCTAATACTATATAAACACTGTTTCAGGGTTCACTTCTCAATTTATGCTATGAGGAACCCAAAGCGGCCAACATCAAATGTAGTATATACAGTGGAGTCAGCTATGCTGAAACCTGGACACACTATCTAAAGTATGTATATACATATATACACACACAGATGTAAGTTGTAGCTCTTTAGCCATCCTTTCTTCCCCTGCAACTTTTTTGAATTCTTTTTTGAATTCTTTGCCCTCATTTTTCTATGCTCACTATTAAAAGTTTTGCTCACCAGGCCCAAGTGTCTCTTAATCTAGCTAATGACATTGGACCTAGAGAGGTTAAGTGGCCTGCATAAGGTCACTCAGCTCAATGTTGGTAGAGCCAGGACTTGAATTAGCCTCTGACTCCACCCTCAAGCTCCTTCAACTACTTGTTGTCTCCCAGAATTTTGATAAGATGCCCTAACTCTCGGGTCCCTACAAGCAGGGCTGGCTTGTTGGATCTGTGACTTATGCAAGTTGCCCAGTGCTTATAGGAATCCCACACTTGGTTTAGTGCCCTGCTGTCAATAAATTCTTAATTTTTTTTTCTTTGGAGTTTTGTTCTGTCGCCCAGGCTGAAGCGCAATGGCGCACTCGGCTCACTGTAACCTCCGCCTCCTGGGTTCAAGCAATTCTTCTGCCTCAGCTTCCTGAGTAGCTGGGATTACAGGTACATACCACTATGCCCAGCTAATTTTTGTATTTTTAGTAAAGACAGGGTTTCACCATGTTGGTCAGGCTGGTCTCGAATTCCTGACCTCATGATCTGCCCGCCTTGGCCTTCCAAAGTGCTGGAATTATAGGGTAAATTCTTAATTTTTTCAACAATGATTCTGTATATTCACTTTGCACTGGGGCCTGCAAATTATGTAGCCTGCAAAATATGTAGTTAAGCATATTTTCATGAAAGCATTTTAGAGCTGAAAAATAACTTACAAAAAAAAATCTTAAAAATACTTACATTTAGTGTCCTTATTTCCCCCACAAGAATAGAGATTGTGATTTGCTCAATGAACAATGGTGAATTCATAGCACACAGGAAGAAAGCCCAGGGCTACTGATCCTATCTAGATCACCACTTTTGTGCTTAAATAGTTCCAAGTATGTTGGAGTAATGGTCACTAAACATTACTCCAGAGTTCAAACTATGACTCCAGTTGAAGTGGCATATGATTTTAATGGTGAAAAGGAAAATAAAGTCTCTAGTGTTCTCTCTAAAGATGACAGGAATCACTATTACATTGTATGTAACTGTTCATCAAGAATATTACTTTTGGAGACACACAAAATATATCGCATATATCTTATACATAACACTATATTAAAATCCTTAAGAACATCATCATTGTGAGACTCTTTGCTATGTCAGCATCTTCTTATGAAGTTCTCATGACCACAGGACATGTGATTTGACCACAGTGTATCTGAAGCAGAGAAGAGTAATTATAAGCCATGTAGAAACTGCTTAGAGGGCTGCTGAGAGCCATTTGGTCCTTTGGTCCTTACCAATGTACCTTGAACATACCTGTATCATTACCTTCATCTCCCTGATTCATTCTTATTCATACGTGTGTGTCTCTTACAAGACTGTGAGCCTCTTAAGGGCAGGAACCATGTGTTTGCGGCTCATCTTTTCATTTCTAGCATCTAGTTCACTGCCTGGCACATTGTAGAAAATAAATGAATAAAGAAATGAATGGGGCCGGACGCAGTGGCTCACGCCTGTAATTCCATGACTTTGGGAGGCCGAGGTGGGCGGATCACAAGGTCAAGAGATTGAGACCATCCTGGCCAACATGGTGAAACCCCATCTCTACTAAAAATACAAAAATTAGCTGGGCATGGTGGCGTGCACCTGTAGTCCCAGCTACTTGGGAGGCTGGGGCAGGAGAATTGCTTAAACCCGGGAGGTGGAGGTTGCAGTGAGCCGAGATTGTGCCACTGTCCTCCAGCCTGGTGCCTGGTGACACAGCAAGACTCTGTCTCAAAAAAAAAAAAAAAGAAAGAAAGAAATGAATGGATGGATGGATGGATGGATGGATGGATGGATGAGTTAACATCTTAGGGAGTGCCTGTATTTTCGCACAGATTTGTTACAGTAGAAGAGTAATACAATCACTGAATGAAGGCAGGAAAAGGTATGTTATATTTTGGAAAAAAAAAAAGCTCTCTATGCCTTGCATAATGTTCATGATATAGTAAATGTAATTAAATGATTAAAGAATAAGGAGAGGCATAAATGTATCCACTTACTTGCAAGCAAGCCAACTCCACTTGCCAGGGATCCAACCCAGGCTGTTTTTCCTTTCCCTTCACCAAAGGCATCCAGCCATTCTATGTACAGGACTCCAACAGCCAGCGGGGAACCGTAACACAAAAACTGAGTAAAGAAGGAGACAAGCACAATCACCCAGCCCCATCCACCATCAGGTGACTTTTTAAGTTCCATTGTAAGACAAAATCAAGGAGGTATTTCTCTGCAGGTCCTAAACAAAAAAACAAACAGAAAAGAAAAGCATATTTAGAGTGTGGCAGGGCACAGCATTTGGGGTTAAAATATCTCCTCCTAAAGTGAAAAAAAAGTTCTCCAAAGATGTACATGGAAAAGCATAAAATATCACTGACGTAGCAAGTCAACAAATACATTTGCATTTATAATTTGATTGATGCATCCACATGGTATGATTTTTTTAATTATAAAAAGACATAAAGTGAAATATAGCCTTCTCAACCTTGTCCAGCTTCACCAGGCTCCCACCCTGCCTAACCAGAGGGAACCACCAATTTTAGGTTCTTAGTTTTTAGTTTCTTGGGTTCCCTAGGAAGCAGATTCCTAGCAAGAAGGAGACTGATTAGGAATGCTCTCAAGTTGCTGCCTATGGAAGGTCACAGATGGCAGAGGGAGAAGATCAGCCGCAGATAACCTTGCAGTTATAAAGAATGAGATTTCTAAAGTTGGGATGACCCTTCAGAGCTGTCCTGAGCTGGGTGCTGAGAGCTGCCCTTCTACACTTCCATGTTGATCATGCACTGAATGTGGCTACCCAGGAATGGGTGGTGATCCAAGGTGAGGTGGCTCCCTTCAGAGGAGGCAGTCTATCCCCATAAGGGCTGACAGCATTCTCGATAGCTGCAGCAAGGAATCTGTTATTCCTGAGGGGAACCTGGAGGGGAACTGGCAGCATATCACAATGTTCACCAACTGGAGTATTTTTCCAGTTTCTTTATGCATTTATAAGCACAATCAAGCACATATTCTTAATGTCTCTTTTTCATTAAAAAAAAAAAAGTAGCATATTATACATTACATTCCCCACTTTCCTTTGTCCACTTAACATCCTGAGATACTTTTCCCTATCAATACATAGATAGTATCATTTTTATAAGTACATAGGATGTACGTATACCATGTGGCTGTATGCTTGCTTATTTATTTACTTATTGAATAGGCAAAACACTTGCATGGTTCAAAAATGAAAAAAGACAAAAGATATACAATCCCCTATCTACGCATTTCCCATCTAAGCCTTAGTTGCTCCACAGGTAACCAATGCCTTTTGTTTCTTGTATATCCTTCTAAAGTTTCTTTAAGCATACACTAGCAAACTCAAATATAGATTTCCTCTAATTTTCAGCACTTTATATACATTGGTATGTGCCTTGTTCTCTTTCACTTGACAAATATCTTGAAGATCTTTCACATCAATGCATACTGACCTTCCTTATTCATTTCTTACTGCTGCACTATATTCCAGCATGGGACTTTATCTTAGTTTGTTTGACCAGTCCCTACGACTTGAATGAAAAACCATGTGCAGTGAAAAACCTTACACATTCACATGTATTTTTGCCTATAGGCACATCTGTTAGGTAAAATCCAAAAGAGGAATTGCCGAATCAAAGAAAAGATACATTTGTAATTGTAATTTCAGAAAATATTGAAAAAGGCTGAGGCAGGAGGATGGCTTGAGCCCAGGTATTACCAAATTGAGTTCAAGAGAATTGAACTATTTCATATGGTCTCCAGGATTTTGTGTGTGTTGTGAGACTTTGGGTTTTTGCAAATTTATTGGTTTTAAAATAGCATTGCATCATAGTTTCAACTTGCATTTCTTATAGTATGAATGTTGTGCATTATTTTGGAGACGAAGAGCCAGTTGAAATTCCTAATTCTTAGGTGTATGTGGATATTCTATTCTGTTCCATTGGTCTGTCTATTCACACATCATTGCCACATTTGTTTCATCACAGAATCTTTTTTTATAAAAGTCCTCTTACTATATTTTAATCTCTACTGGGGCTTTTTCTCTCTTTACAATGACACTCCTTTTGCAATATTTTGTGGCTATTCATATTTTCCTGTTTTATATGAACTTCAGAATCAGCCTGCCTGGTTCAAAAAGAAATCAGATGATTCTTTCATTAGGACAGAGTTTAATTTAAAAATTGTTGTAAGGAGAATTGCCCTTTCATGATGTCAATTGATTCTAAGAACATAATATGTTTTGCATTTGTTAAAGTCTCCATATATGTTCTTAGTGTTTAAAATGTTCCTCAATATTTCATTGCATTGTATTCTTATAGATTTTATACTTGCTGCTAATACTGTATTTGGGGTCATTTCTTTGATTTGTCTTCTGTTTGTATGTTTAAAAGCTACTGATGTCTGTATGTTAATTTTTCATCCCACTTCCCTACGAAATTCTCCTATTTGTGGTAGATTTTCAGAAGATTTTCTTAGGTATACACAATACAGAGTGCAATACAGTCATATAATCACCTACAGCTATAATTTTTTATCTTCTTATATGTCTTGAATTTGCATTTTTCTATTTCTGAGCATTACTACAAATAATGGTTATTACATTTTATCAAATATATTTCCAGTGTGTAGGAAGATAATCATACAATTTTCCCTTTATAACTTTTAATATAATAAAATATCTATTTTTTACTACTGAAGCATCCATAAATTATTGGATTAAATCTTCCTTGGTTCGTGCACTCTTTTGACTGTTAGTTTACTTTGGGGGGGATTTTTATGAATTTCTACTAGGTGTTGGTACCCAAATGATGTTTACTTTATTTAAAAATCTAAGCTGGGCATGGTGGCTCATGCCTGTCATCCCAGAACTTCAGGAGGCCAAGGCAGGCAGATAGCTTGAACCCAGGGGTTCAAGACCAGCCTGGGCAACATACTGAAATCCCATCTCTACAAAAAAATATGAAAATTATCCTGATGGGGTGGTGCAGCTGTAGTCTCAGCTACTCAAAAGACTGAGGTGGGAGGATATCTTGAGTCCAGAAGTTTGAGGTTAAAGTGAGCAGTAATTGCACCACTGCACTCTAGCCTGGACGACACAGTGAGATTCTGTCTCAATAGCAACAACAAAAAAAGCCAAGAAAAGAAAAATTTTCCCTTTTTTTCTAAATAGTTTACATGGCAATGGATTTGGAGATCCAAGGCCTAACCTCCATGTCCCCAGCAGGGCCTCCCACTTAACCTGCATTTTTCATGTCTCTTCACTATGCCAGTTACTTTACTTTACAGTCAGGTGTACTTTACACTTTACAGTCAGGTGCAATGGAGTCTTTGCCTACAGATTTTGCCAAACTATTCACTTGGCTGTGGTTTCAATAGGTAATGTCTGAAGACAGTAGGAATATCAATTATCTCTTCACACACAGCCTAATTAAATGACCTTCAGAGAGTCATAGCTACACCTGTCATTTGCCTGGGCTTCTGTGTATTTATTTCTTTACTTTGATTTCAGAGCCCTGGCCAGAACTCAGGTCACCATGTGCCATAAGTCTTTATACAAATTAACTTTCAATATTTGTTCACTAATAACCATTAGTGAACAAAACTGTTGGTCTAAAATCCAGACACTGAAACCACATGATTGTATTAATAATCCAAACTTCCAAATCAAAAACTTTCGTAGTAATCAGATATGTCCCTCCATTGGAAATTTACTCTCTGCGGTACCTACTCTATTGTAAAAATAAACAGTACAATTCTGGTGTTTCTAATGACAATTTAGTACTTTACAATTTCTGTTCAGAATCCTCTTCAAAGAAAATAATATCTTAACTCCCCAAACTAAATAGGAGATGATAAAAATAGCCAAAGATCTAAAGAGACTAAGAGGTTGTATGAAGACAAATGAATACAACATTGTCCTTCATTCAAATGCTCCAATCACAGCACTTCTGGAAAAGTACAAATATATATAGACAAAGCACCAGAATCATGAATAAAGCCAGTATTCTTGGGAGGTTGCAGGTAATGGGGGATGATGAGGAGAATTATCTCCCTTACCAGTTTTCAAACTTAAGTAAACAAAAATGCCTTTCTACACCAAATACCTCTGCTCTACCTTGCATTGCCATGCCCTGCCTTGGGTGACATTTCAGGATATAGAACAAGAGCCAAAGAAATTCTCACAGTAAATATTTAAGAGAGCAAATCTTGGAAACACAAGTTCCCATGCACATCCGCTCTGACTAGAAAGGCAAGTTTTTATAGTGCTGACAAACAGCTTCTGATTTGTCATCATCTCAGAGTTTAAGATACATGTAGTCTCAGTAGAACACGGTGAAAACTACCATTTTGTGATTTACTGTAATGTCACAGCAGCACCCTCCTCCCATACCTTCCTCCATTCTTTAGGTGCCTCTCCACCAGCTGTTTTTCTGATACTCTGTACTGGGTAAGGCGATTTTACAAATAGGCTAGCCTTCACTGCTCCTTTTTTGTAATGGCGCTCAATTTCCTTTTCGAGGATGTAGATCTGCCCTATGGCTAGAGTGCTTTTAGGACTGTTAATTAAGTTTCCTTCACCTGGAGCAATAGAGTGACATATAACCCAAGAGAAGCCAGTAGGCTTTCAGGATTCTGAATCTGGAGTGAAATGCTGCAAGGAAGGGAAACCTGTGGAGTTTATGGATCCCCATGAAAGTGCACTGAAGGGACTTCTGTCAGTCCTGCTACCTTGACCTCCTAGAGATACCAAAGCCTGGTTTCTCCAGCCCTCCACATTTGTGAGCTAACCCAGTAAATTATTTTGTTAACTTATCTGCTACTCATTTCTTTACTTGCAACTGAATATATTGTGAGTATGCCATAATTTCAAGTTGATTTTTTTAACCATCTATACTCTAGTTGGTCCCATTTAGAACAAAGGTAAAGCTGAGGAATATTATTGATGACCATAGAATATAAGAATACAAATGTGCCATATCTATTTTTATGAAAATTTCTTCTTAATATCCTCCCTTCTTCATATCTTATGATCTAATATGATCAATTCCCTTATCTGGCATTCTTTTAAATAAAATTTCATATTAACTAAAATTTCCACTAAGCCCAGTTTACAGAAATTCAGCATGATAAAAGTGGTCTTAAAATTTAACTGGGTGTGATGACATGCACCTGTGGTCCCAGCTACTTGTGGGGGTGAGGCAGGAAGATAGCTTGAGCCCA